AGTGTGTATACTTATACCGTGATATCTAAAAATGTCCGGCAGCAGCCTGTGGATGGCTCAACATTGGCGGCAGAGGTCATCCCTACGGAGGTCACAGGATCCCTTCCTCCCTGTTTTACCGTCCCCTCTTCGGATCTGTCACGCTGCTTTGGCTGTGATGGTACCCTTGGGATATGCGCGTCCAAAGAGGTACCATCCAAATGAAACTATGGAGGGTATACCAACGGCAGGGACCACTGAATACACTTTGGATGTTTGAGTCAGCCCGGACGCGCTCGTCTACAGAGCTTGTGCTCCGGCACATCCCTTGACACTTTCCCTAAGGGTCCAAGGACCCAAAAAACAGGGCTTTAGGGCCCAAATACTATGAATTTCATAGTATAAAACCCTATTATTTGGGTCCTTGGACCCTTAGGGTTTGGCTGCTTTGGCACTGTTGTCTTAGCATGAAAAGCCAGCTTAAGCTAGTCATCAGGAATGAGTCTTGTCCATATGTTTCCATTGCCGGTGCTACTCTGGATAGCTAGCAATGCATGCATCCAATGATCTGCTATTCTTTGACAAAGTTTGCTTGAGAAGAGCGGCAAAGAGTCCGAAAGTTTTGCTGCAGCTTGGTGCATCAGTCGAACACGCATCTGAATCAATCTAAACTCCTAGCATCCCCCTTAACAACCCCTGTAGTAGCCCCCGATGTAATCCCTCACATATCCCCTTTTAGGAGTTTAGACTATAGCTCATCTGTGTCATGTCCGGGAACGGAAACATAGGCATAGAGGTTGCTCACAACGGGAAGCCAAAAGGGACACTTGACTAGGGATTTCTGGGGGTTTCTTTTTTGGGTTTTTGGGTTTTGGGTTTAGGGGTTTAGGGTCTAGGGCACAGGAATTCTGGGAGTCCATTTTTGGTACTATCACGCAGGTGTTTAAAAAGGAGCAAATAACCTTCTGCTGTTCCTGGTGCCCTGCGTAAAAGAACCTTGGCCCAGGGACAGAGGCGCTGTCACAAGGCTATAGATTCTATGGATAAGGTTGTATAGGGATTACATGGTGTTGTCTAGGGATTGAATGGGGATGTTAGGGCTCAGTACCCCCCATCGAGATCTATGGAACACTTGGATAAAAAAAATACCAGGACCCCAAGAAGCTGGACTTGCAAGCACAACAGCAGCGCACAAGTAAACAGAGCTAAACTCGAATTCAAGGCCCCACGCGCATAAACTCCTGAGCCCTAGACCCCACCCTTCAATCCTCAAACCCCAACTGCCTCCCAAATAACATCTTTACACAGATATATATATATTTGCATATGTATGACACACTGTAGACTGTCTATAGAACTCCTCTATAACCCCTATAAAACCCTTATATGTAACCCCGAACCTACTAACCTAATGCCGAAACTGACCCCTATATCTTAGGTTGGGCCCCCCACTAATAGTGACGACATATTACAATCCTTGTATATTCCTAGTATACCACTATTAGTGGGTGGGGGCCCAACCCAACCACCCTAAA